GGGGGGCAGCATAGGGAACACCGGGATAATCCAGACCTCTCATTGAATCTAGAGCACCATCGTCTTGTTGCAGGACAGAAGATAAAACATCAAGGGCAGGACAGAAGGACAGAAGAGAAACACACCCGACACACCGTACCTACACGCAGGATGTGCGTACGCACACGCACGCACTCCCTTTAAATCCGGCGGTTGGGCACCCTCGTACAATCTCGCCCGCGGCACCATGTCGGGGGAGCGCGCGCCACTAGAAAGCGTGTTCATCCATACACCCTACTGCCCGGTCTTAAAAGACCTGAACGGAGTTTATTCATCTGCCAGCCTGTCGAGCGCTAACGCCCGCGTCCGCCCGCAACACACTCACACTTGGAAGCATATACCATAAATGCCCAGGGTTGTGTGTTGTGTAGCACACACACATGCACCCGCACATTTTCTGTTTCCACCGGGCCTGAAATTTACTTCACTCCATTGCATTGGTCAGCGCGGTCGACGCTAACAATGAAGAAAGAGCACAATCCCACTTGAATCGTTCTTGTCTCCCTCCCCCCAACGCTCACTCACCCCTAGCGCCTTGAGGTCCTGCATCGCGACCCCAGGGCAGAAGCACCAGAAGCAAAACACCCTCCCGGCGCCGCCGCCGCCGCCACCCCCCCCCCCGCCCCCAACACTGACCCCTCCCCTAACCCTAACCCCCTTGCCGCTGCCGCGACCATCGAGGGGAGACACGCTCTCCGCGGAGGCTATGTGCGAGCGGTACATCTGGGCGAAATCCAGGCACTCTTCGCGAGAGGCGTTTCCCCCTCGAAACGCCACCTTAATTTTTGGGAGGGGGCACGCAGTCGGTACCAAGTGAGGGATTTCGCAGAAAGACGGGGTTTCGCAGAAAGAAAAAAAGGAAAGAGATGCGGAAGGGGTGTGTGTGTGTGTGTGCTCATGGCCATAAACCGTATATGTAGTCTTGTAGAAATCGGAAGCAGGAATGAGGGATTTCGATTTTTCGCCGATCAGGCTCGCGTTGAACAAGGGAAGGTATCGGCGGAGGAGGGTTGGAAAGGAAAGCAACCGTTTCGGGGCTTGGAAGGGGCAAGGATAACAGGGTACCGATGGGAGGTTGAAAGGGACCGGGGGACAAGGAGCTGTTGTAGACAGAAGGGGAGGAGGTTACTCCAGACGAAACACCTAAACGCCCAAGGCGTGTGCGAGTTCAGAGAGCCGCCAGCGTTTAACTCTACAACAGGAAGCGCTGCAATCTCGTGTCTTCTATGTAACATGTTGTCTCGCCCATAAGAGCACTCGCATCTTCTTGGTTCCCACTGCTGCTGCTGTACATGCGCGCTCTGCAAGCCCGAACGCGCCGCGTTGCCAATTTCGTCGCCCCCGGCCCTCAATTCCATCTGCTCCAGTTATAGCTGCCTGCGGCTCTGTCGCAAACTGACCTGCCAATACTTACCAGGAACGCCTCCATGATCCCTCATACACGATACACACGTGGATGTTCTCGGCGACGGCGGTTATCTTGAGGGAGGGGTTGCCTGTCGTATCCCTCACCCCTCCCCAATGGCGTAATAAAAACCCGGTATTTCGCTCCGTCCCGTCATGCGTCGTCATGCGAGGTAACTGGTCTAAATTAAGACTACGGCATGCGTGTACATGAGTACTGTACCCCCTCCAACCCGTTTCCAACCCAGACTTCCCGAGGATATTAATATTGTGTTTAGGGTTAGGGTTAGGGATAGGAATCCCCCCCTCGCTACTTCATAGATAAAAAACAAGACTCTCGCGAAGGCGACCCCATTTCGGTTACCCTCACACCTTGATGGCTCTAGCGACCACGTCGATCTTGAGGGCGTTGGCCTGTCCGTACAGGGCGTTCTCCTGGAGGGTGTCCGACATATCCTGCAGCTTGCCCAGCCACGCCTGCTTTTGTTGCGTGCACAACGTTTTGAGCGAGCGCACAGCCCGAGAAACAGCAAAGCTTGGTTATGGTCCTCCTGAAGGAGGGGAGGACGCTACGGCCAGACCCCTGGAGCGGAGAGTTATACGGCAAGTGTTAACTAGGCCTTGCCGTACAACACGGCATCGGTCGGAGATATCGCACCTGGGTGCCATGAAAAAGCTAATCGAAATGCCTTTACTGCGTTTCCGCATCAGGGTTGGAGAGATCGCACCGGGGTGGTCGGAGACAACGCACCGGGGTGGTCGGAGACATCGCACCGGGGTGCGATAGAAAAGGAAACGAGGAGAACACATTTTGTAAAACGATCGCACCCTGTGCCATCTTTCCGCCTACTACGGCAACCACACCCAAAGCTTGCCTGAGCCGTGTCGAACGTTATCCCAGCGTGCTCGAAGAGCGCGTAGACGTACTCCCCCTTCTGCGTGAAGCCCTTGCCGCTGGCAGGGAGTTTAACGCCTTCCATCGCGTCCTCGAGCAGGTGCAGCGCCTGCTTCACGAGGAGGGCGTTGTCCGCCTGCGTCGCCCCCCCTCCACCTTGCTGCGGTCATCCCCACGGAACCCCGGGGCGGAAAATCATCGCAGCAGCGAGGTAAAATGAAATCGCCACGAAGAAAGTGATCATTTTCTAATAAGATTACAGTAGATGCGCCTTGAATTAAAGGACCGAAGCAGCAGCGACGAACAATGGCAACATGACGAACAAACCATTCCTCCATGTAATGCGCTTTGTGCTTTTCAGAGGGAAAAAGAAAGAGGTGCTTCCCATTTCACACAGAGAGCTCGTTGGTGCGGTCTACTACAGTCCAAGTGGTGACTGTTGTATTGGCATGTGCAAGAGGATACGTCTTTCCGCCTGCATTTCTAGCAGGACGTGCGTGTGTGTGTATCACGTTGTGGCAGGCGGGGGTCACTCCCTCAGCCGGGCAACACACGACTTGCTGCTTGTCTTCTCCAACTTCTCCCGTCCGCGGTGGTTATCGTGAGATTGAGGCCAGAAATATTGATTAAGCGGTCCCTCTCTTTCCTTGTGCACCATCAACACGGCAAAGTGAATGATTGTTCTGTTGACACGAATTTCAATGCCAATTTTCTCGCTTTTCCAAGTATTATTTCGGGCGCGATGTGCGGGACAACGTGACACGAGGTGCTACTGTATGAGAAAGAAAAACACAAACGCAAACCATGGAATGTGTCCGAAAGGTAATCATCGACGGAAAACACTTGAAAAACCTGTTCCGTGGTACATAAGAACCTGTTCCGCGGTCATCAACCGCGAAGGCGCTTTTGTTGTGCGGTCATACCCGGGCCATCCCGTCCCGTCCCACCTCATCCACGCCCCCCTCGGTGCATAGGTTGTGGCACCTCAGAGCTTCATCCTGAGCGCCCGCGATCTGCGCGCTGGTCAGCTCGAAGCTGGAGGCATCGCTCGCCACGCTCTCCAGGTTGTGAGCCTCGTCGAATATGACGACCGCGTTGGTCCAGTTGATCTAAGGGCGACGAAAAAGCAGGCAGACAGAGAGACAGAGAGACAGGGAGACAGAGACAGCGAGGCAGACAGACAGACAGACAGACAGACAGACAGACAGACAGACAGACAGACAGACAGACGATCCTTATGTCCGTGAGTGGTACCGAGAGAGAGTGCACAGGGCGTGCAGAAAATCCCACGAAAAACGCATCTGCCGATTGCAAAACGGTGCCAACATCTCGAGGACGCCGACGTCAAGATGTGATGCCGACGTCAGCAACGACAACGACGACGACGACGACGACGACGACGACGACGACAAGAACGGGCACCGCAACAACACAGCATCACAAGCTACCAGCACACAACCAGCAACAGCAGCGTCAAACACGCAGACCGACAGCGACAACAAATCACTACTATCATACTACCATGACAACCCTCACCAACGACAGACATTCGCCAAGTTCCTGAAACCACGCTTACAAGATCTCGCCTGGATCCCGCTCAGAGTCGAGTAAAAAAAACGTGGTTTCCGTGTACAAAACGTAAGATTGATTTACACAAACTTCCCTGATTATCCATACAAAATTGCCGAAGCTACGCAAAACTACAACCACCACCAATCAACGACAGCAGCAGCTGCAAGCAGAGCACCTTTATGCCTCGTCGTGTTCCCGGGTCGAGAAGATAGTTGTACGGCATCAACACCAGCTCGGCACGCGGTGCGTGCCCCCTACCAAGGTAGTACGGGCAAAACTCGTGCTTCTTGGCCAGCGACACAAGCTCCTCGATATCGGGCACCTTCTCGGCAAANGGGGGGCGGGGGGCAGGTTTTGCATGCCGTGTTGTTATACTATTGGCCATGGGTCCTCGACAGGACGGAGCATTGTTCCCACGGGACCGGTAACCGATGGTCAATCGTTCCTTCTTGCTTTGCCAAATGTGGCGCAAAAAATGTTTTCTAGACTTCACCCTATCAATGGGGAGGGGGGGGGGGGG